ATAACAGATAGACACTGATAACACAATTATAAAATATCAACACAATTACACAGATGGCGCTAACCTAAAGTTTTTACATACTAATACTTATAAGTATAGCATAGGAAAAATACCGTAGGTTATTCTGCACGATAGAAACTTTAAATTGCTTGGGATGGCTCAAAAATAATTTTTTTCATAAGTATAAATGAAAAAACTATTTTTAGACTCTAGAGAATAAATTTAGGTGGTAGGAGGACAAAATGTTTTTAAGTAATTTTTTTAGACCACCCTAATACACATAAATCCGAACTGAGAGCTAATAATATTATCAATAAACTATTTTCAAATTATCATAAAAACAATTTTATACATATACCTTCTGAAATTTCAATTTTTTATAGAAATTTCTGATGATCGAATTAATACAAGGAATATTATTAATAGTCAATGAAAAAGTACATTTTTAATTATAAAACCAAGAAACAAAAAAAATATATATATTTACTAAAATTTAAAGGAATTGTATATTTTATCATGTTTATCAAAAACATGACTTCGTTAACGTTCCTAGTACCTTAATTTTTAAAGAAAGCAGTTCCAACAAAAAAAGTATTTCCAAAAATCCGTTATTTTTGTAACGAATTCCCTTCTCAACACTGTTATATAATTACTAGGTTAATATTTCTATTTACAGAATTTTACAAGAAATTTGGCATCTATAATTTATAATAGAGTTTATAATCTTTATGAAAAAAGTAACGATAGAAGACACACAACTGTAACTAGCTATGATGCTTTTTCTTCTTGGGCTTGTAAGTTAGAAGTTCCAGAATGTGAAATGAAAGCTTTGGAGTACTTCAAAAAATGGCAAAAAGAAAAATAGTAATACACGTTTATCTTATCTTATTTGAAAATAATATGTACTCTGATATGGTCGTTCTCATCGCGGGATAAGGATAAATCACCCTATAAATACAATGATTATACGATGAAAAATTTTTTTTGGTTAGGGGAGTTATTAAAATAAACTTTTATTGAGACACTAAGAAATTGAGAACGTTCCTATTCTAATATTTGATTAGTAATTTAAAAGGTTATTTTTTATAATAAGTGTACCAGCTGATATAAAAGAAGCCACATTATGCACTGGCATAAGACATGGTGATGAAACTGAATGGAATGAAGTTTTTAATTTATATCAGACAACACAGACTTATTCAGAAAGACAAGCTGCGCAACTAGCATTATCTTGTAGCAAAAATATTACTCTATTAAACAGGTAATCATTTTTATTATCCGATTGGTGTTATGTTAATAATAATATAAGGTGTGTAATAAAAAATCTTAAATGATACATTTAGCTGTATCGCAAAAAATTGGGATTGGTCGAGTTTAGGATTACAAGAATAATTTTTATTTTTATTAGTATATGTATAATCATGATTCTACATAACTAATAAAAAAATCCAGCCCACCGATATAATGGTGGGGCAAGCGGGGCACGTAGTACTTAATAATATGATGTAACTGGAGTTATAGTGTTGAAGGGATTAAAGGCTTTATTGGCCCCTAAACGAAATGTATTTTTAGGATACTGTATAATCCAACAACACATTTTCATTAACTTGGGTCCTTTTAAAAATCATATAAAATTCATATTAATCCCGTCTCAATTGATAAGAATTTGATAAACAACATATTTGTACACTTGATATTTAAATAAATTTACCTGATAAATTTATAATTTATATATGATTTTGATTTTATAATTCTGATGAAACTACAATATTTTTCGAAAATATAATTGTAAGCAAAATTTATATTAGAACTTTAGTTATAATGAATGTATTAAAAAAAAACGGTAGCACAGTGGGGTCGCGGCATAGTGGACACATTGCATAGTAGGGTCCAGTGTAGATTTAATCTGACAGTGATTAAAATCACTATCATAAGAAACGCTTCGATGCAAATCTGTAGATAGTGTTTAATTTTAAAAAATTGATGGATAATTGCAAAAGCAACATCAACTTCTATTAAAATAAAATACAAAACCCATAATTATCATACAAAAATAGTATATTTTTCAATATGGTAGCCATTTGCGTATAGAAGATAGATCGTCGGGACAAATTTTTTTTTT